TAACTTTGTTTATTAAGACCTATTCTATAAAATTACCAGTTAAAATTTTAAAAAAACTTATTAATAAAAAGTTATAAATGTTTTAAATTTGTATACTTTCAAGTATTTTATTATGTTTTCGCCAAAATTGAAACAAATTCATATTATGTGACTTCAATTTGATTGGTTAATTTTAATAAATTTATATCGTATATATTTAATTAAAAATCTAATTAATCATCTTAAGGGTACCCCATACAAAGTGACAGAAGCAGATAAGTAATTTGCCAAGGAAGAAAGGTCAATATGTTTCTCAAAAAGAACATCAAATTGTTATAGAGACTATCATCAACACTATAATCAATAAGGAATATCAAGTTGTTATAAAAAAAGCCGTTATCGCTAAGAAAGCTGTTATTACAGAAGGAGCTATTGTTGCTAACAATAAAAATAAAATTATCATGGGACTAACTACTGTGACCAATAATGAACATCGAATTACCATGGAAATAGTTGCAGCCACAAAAATAGTTGCGGGCATCAGTGATAAAAACCAAACTATCACAGAAACAACCATTAATATTACTAACCCATATGACGAAGAAGACCTTTATATTATGGAGGCAGCTACTAATATCCAAAAAGTTTCTGAAAAATGGATAAATGAAGACTTGAGAGAATTTGAAGACATAAGAAAAAGGTTTCTCATCTGGAATGATAATGCTGAAAGTAATCTTAGAACTACGTATACTGGAAACTCGAGAACAACATTGTGAAGATGGGATAAAGAAAAAAAAAAGTATGCAGAACATGTTAAAGAAATGAAACCAGTTAATATGTTTTTCCAAACAGCTTTACCTACACAGTATCTTCGTCCATTACATTCTTGCCCATCATGTTCTCACCTATCACATTATTGTCCGTTTTTATTATTATCCACTTGTCTTGAAGAATTTAACCAACAATGTTCAATAGGAAAATCTGTAAAAGAAAACAATAAAATCTTTATATATGACTATTTACACCTTCTTAGTATTCACCGATTTATACAGTTATTATTGAATAAACAAACTAAGATGGATGCTAATCACCGAATCACTCAAACAATATGACACAAAGGAGATTACATGGCTATGTATATCTGAAAGTAGTGAAGTTATTTTATATAAACCGGAACACTTCTCACCTATCATCAAGGAAAACACATGAAACTTCAGAATTTATTAGATAATGAAGATTTTGCTAAAGGTTGCAAGGCATGAATATGGCAACAAAAACTGGAAATACATTCCTCGAGAAACTTAAAAGTATATATCGAAGACATATTATTTTCGAAATTGACAGGCTATATCAAGAAAGATACCATCTTTGAGAAGACATGTCGAAATTATATGCATTCTTGGGAATACAGGTATAATAAAAAAGGAAAGGGTATTTATTATAACGGGCATAAGCGATCTGATGTCATGATATATAGAAAAGAATGGTTGAAGTGAATATTTGTGTATAAGAAAAGTATGAAAGATTTTGATGGTGATAAATTAGATATTATAGTAAAATCCCAACTCGAATCAGAAAAAAAGAAGTTTGTCCAAGTAACACATGACTAATGTCACTTTTATACAAATGATAGTCAACAGAGAATTTGGATTCAAGAAGAAGAGAATATCCTATGCTCGAAATATTTAGGATGATCCATTATGGTTTTTACATTTTTATGCCCATGTTATGGTCTATTGTGACTATCCGAACATCAATTGCAAGTCAACTTGCATATTAAATATCAGGAAAGTTTTGTTCTTTGTTCTGTTCAAGAAAATGAATATTGAAGATTAGAACATATGTTAGACCAGATTTGGGCTTTTTTTTAATTTATTTTAAATTTTAATTAAACCTAATTATCTTTAGCTTGTACATTAAGCAATATCAATATTCGAAGTATTACATCCTGAATGTATTGGCATTTTTTGTTTTGATCAATCTACCAACCACAATACTATGGCAAACGATGCCCTAATCGTGACAAAAATGAATTTGAGTTTTGGAAATACACAACCTAAGATGCATGATAGTTGGTATGTCAACAAAAGTAGTAAAAGACACATGCAATCAATGATATTTCCTGGTGATTATCCGATCGAAGAATTAAGAGGTCAATCTAAAGGTATTAAACAAGTACTTATGGAACGTAGCTTATGGCCATCAAAAAAAATTCATTTAGTGTGTAAAGAATGTTCAGAGAAACATGATGATTTGACAAAATTGGATTGTTGTGCGCAAAAAATTTTGTCTTCCCAACCTGATTTTTGTGAACAGCAATCAATGTTGCATGAAGCAATTGTAAGTGCGAGACATGTCTTTGAATGTTACTTGAAATTTTATTGTGAATACAACTTTATAGAGCGATACTGGGGTTTTTTGAAGTGAGAAACTAGACACCAATGTAATTATAATTACACACATTTATTGAGCCAAATTCTCGAAGTTCTCAATAGTGTTCCTATAACCACAGTCCAAAAATTCGCATGCAAATCATAGAGATATATGGATATATACAATAAAGGGTTAGAGGGTAAAGTTTCCAAGTAGGCTGTAAATAAATTTAAATTATATAGACGATTACCAGAAAATATTGAAAGAATAATAGAAATTGAATATGTGAAAGTGAAGATGGAAGAAAATGAACAAAGTAACAAATAAATATTGTTTTAGTTATGTAGTAATGCAATGATTTAATGATAACTTTAATTATGATGATATATATATGTATATCACATGATCAACCATACATGTACATGTAACAGATTCATTTCAAAATCAGTACTGATCCAATCATGTTGAACCACATGACCATTCACGTGATATACTGGCATACAAAAATTTGAAACAAATTCTTGAGTCTAGACTTCCAGCATCATATAAGTTAACAAATAATATGATTATTAAATCGATTTATAATATAAATAAATGAAGTAATTACTTTAAATATAAATACTTTTGTTTGATTATTAATTGTTTAAAAATTTTCATATTATTATATTTATTAATTATAAAAATAAATAAATTTTAGATAAGAATATTTTAATAAAATATAATGTCTAACAAAAATATTTCATCTCCTTATAATGCTTCTTCTATTTCTTAAATTCAATTTATTACTAATATATAACAAAATATTGCCAATTCTTACCAGCCATATATGCTTATAATGATAGTAATTGTTCAGATTCAATAAAAAGTATTGCAAGCATAGAAAATATCTTTTTGGTAATAAGTGATAGAAATTAATGTTCCCTTAAAAGTCAATAGCAATCCTCTTTCAGCCAATGTCCAAATGAATAATTATAATCTCAATATCACTCAAAAAAATAGTCACAGTATTGATTCAATGAAAATTAGTTTTAATTGAGACAACAATCAAGAAATTGGCAAATATTAAGACATTCTTCAAGAAAATGTTCTCAATTAAGACAACTTTCTAGAGAACAAAGTTGGTCAAAGCAGCTTTTTAGAAAATGATTTGAATTTCAACAGTCCAGATATTTTTCAAGACAACAAACTTTAGTTCTCTTATCTTTAAGATAATAAACTTCAATATGTTAACTCTTAAAGTAACAAATTTTATATCAAACAGTTCAAATTATATTTCACCAATATTATAGAAATTATGAGGCTTCGTTTTTACTTGAAAATTAAAGAAAATCACAGAAAAGAAGATTGATAGATGGTGCAATAAATTATACTTTAATATATTGTATATATCTTTTTAAAGAATGGCAACATTATAGGTGGCAAGTTGATAAACAACTTTTTTTGTAACAACAGCAGCTATATCTTTTGGTAAGAAGACTTGATGATGATATTTGAGAAATCAAGACTGAAATAAAAAAGAAAGATGAATAGGATAAGTTTTATCCTCAAATTATAGACATAAATATTTTAATTAATAAAATTTAAAGCAAAATTTATCTAATTTATATTTTTAAATAATTTAGAAAATATGTTTAAATGTTATAAAACAATTGTTTCTGAGATATATTTATTTAAACCAAAATACTTTGAAGAATGCCTTGCATAAATATCTCAAAGTGAACTTCTTTAAATATATGTTCAATTTAAACTCAAATTAGTTTACAAATTTATTTTATAGTAAATAATATAGTATGATAAGTATAAATAAAATAATTTGATTGTTTTTAATTTTTTTTTTAACTAATTCAAGCTTAATTAAACAAAAGCCTCTGGCAAAAATGAAAAATTATCACGATACAATATTATAAAATATTAGAATAGCAATATGATGAGTCTTTAGTTTAGAACGATTATCATTTTTAAAAAGCAATACTTTATTAGCTACTATTATGATGTGGAAAAAGTCTGTAGACATGTTTAAATGTTATTGTTTACTTTTTTAATTAAATAGTAAAAAAATCTATTGAATAATTTTAATTACAAGAACAATTTTTTTTGAAATATCTGTTTTTGCTTTAAGCAATAAACATTGTGTATTTACTCTTGCTATATATAATATTTTTTTGAATCCTTAATTCAAAAGTATTATTTGTTTTAAAAAATGGATAAAATATTGTATAGAGAATTTTTTTATAAATAATTGTTTAAAATACAGTATGATAAATTTTTTTAATATAATCTTTAATATATTTATTAAATAAAGAGATTTTAATTATAATGATTCCTTCCTAAATTCTATTAAAGAAATTTTAAATAATGAATTAAAAAGTATATTAAATTGAAAGCAATCATAAAAAACTTTAAAACAAGAATAAAAACAAGAACAAGAAAAAACAGAAACAAATAGAATATAACAAGACAATTCAATAATACTTTCACAAAAAGAACAAATATGTTATTTGGTATTGATAAAGATAATAAAGATTAAATTAGAAATTAAATATAAACATTTGTAATAATGTAAAAAATAATAATTTGCTTTTAATAAAAATAAATCATTTTAATTTAATTGTTACATATAATATAAAAATTATAAAAAAAATAATTATTTTGTTATTAATTGATATTTTAAATTTTATATTAATATCAATAAACTTCAATATATTTCAATTTTTAAATTGATTTTTATTTAAATCAATAATAATTGACAAAGGGAATTATCATTAATTTTTTTTTTTTTTTTTAATCCCGCAATCAGGTTGGTGTTGTTTATTTATTTAATCATAAAGAACCATTACAAGTTG